GGACTGATGTTGAAGCTGAAACTCCAATATTTTGGCCACCTGATGTGGAGAGCTGACTCATTGGAAAAGACCCTGATGCTGGGAAAGTTTGAGGGCAGGAGGAGAAGGGGACAACAGAGGATGAGATGGTTGGATGGCATCACCGACTCAATGGACATGAGTTTGAGCAAGCTCCTGGAGTTGGTGATGGACAGGGCAGCCTGCAGTGCTGCAGTCCATGGGGTCACAAAGAGTTGGACACGACTGAATGACTAAAATAGACTATATAGCAAAGTGACTCAGTTATACACACACACACACACACACACACACACACACATATCTTTTTCATATTCTTCTCCATATGGTTTATCACAGAACACTGAGTGTAGTTCCTTGTGCTGTGCAGTGGGACCTTGTTGTTTATCCATTCTCCATATACTGCTGGTCCCAAACTCCTGATCCTTCCTTCCCTACCTTCTCCCTTGGCAACCACCTGTCTGTGAGTCTATTTCTGTTTCACAGATATGTTCATTTGTGTTGTATTTTAGATTCCACATATAAGCGATATCACATAGTATTTGTCTTTCTCTGTCTGACTTATGTCTCTTTTTATCATCTCTAGGTCCTTCTATGTCGCTGCAAATGGCATTATTTATTTCTTTTTATGACTGAGTAGTATTCCATTGTATATATGTGCCATATCCTTATCCATTCATCTGTTTATGAACATTTAATTTACTTCCATGTCTTGGCTATTGTAGGTAGTGCTGCAGTGAATATAAGGGTATAAGTATCTTGAAAAAGGGGGCTTAATAAGTGTATATTCCTCATGGAATTGTATGAGAATTGCATTAACTACTATATGTGAAGCAGCACAGAGCACAGTTGTTGATATTGTCATCTAACAATAGGTTTATATGTAATAAATACACATATTATATTTACTCATAAATGAGATGCTATCTCTGCATGTTGACTGTATATATAACATATTCACAAACATATACTGTTTTGTGGACCAACCCTTTAAAATTGGAAAACAGCAGCCTTTATCTTCTAAAGTACTCAGGTTCAGAATCGTAGCCATTTAGTAATTGTAAGTAGGTGGGCTCAGGGTGGGGGTGGTTAAAATTTAACCATTATTCAAGGCTTGCCCTTGGATAATAAAATTAGGAAAAATAAGCCTGTCACTAAGGTGATGGGCCTTTTGAGCTGGCTGGCAGTGTGACTGGGCTTCCCTGGTGGCTCAGCTGGTGAAGAACCCACCTGCCCGTGCAGGAGACCTAAGAGACGGGATCAATCCCTGGGTGGGGAAGATCCCCTGGAGAAGGAAATGAAAACCCACTCCAGTATACTTACCTGGGAAATCCCATGGACAGAGGAGCCTGGCAGGCTACGGTCCTTGGGGTCACAAGATTCCCCTGTTCCCTACAAAGCCTGGTGCCTAATCCGCTGTGTCTGTGAACTGCAGGGGGTGGTCAGGAGGATGAAGGAAGGGAAGGGGCTGCCTGGTGAGGGGAAGGGGTCTCACTGGTCAGCTGACCTGAGCCCCAACCCTATGATCCCCAATAATCTGCTGATCAGTCATTTGGATCTTCCTTTACTCAAACTGATTCCAGGGAGGAGGTGACCTGGCTGGAAATTTTCTGGTCACTAAAAAGGGGTACCTCCTCTCCCCTTCCCCCTCCCATCTCCATCCCCACCCACTGTGTTGCTAACTACTAGTATCCCGGCTCATATAGTAGGCTCAGAACACAGAAGATGATTTGAGTGGCTCTTTTCTTAGTTCTCCCACGGATGTCACATCACTAGTGCCATCCTAAATGCCTAGGAGCGAAGTGAACACCTTGCACGCAATGGCTGCATGAGTCCATTGTGGAACCTGGGATGAGAAGGGCTGTGACCAGGATCAGCCTCCCAGAGAGGAAGCAGTTCTGTAAACTGACAGGAACCCATTCAGGAGGTGCTGAGAACAGCCACCCCCAGACGCAGCTACGCTGGGAGTCCCACATGGTCAGCCACTGACCCTTGTCCCTCCCCTGCCTGGGGTCCCTCTCGCTGAGTGCCAACCTCAGCCTCACACTTCCCCCAGCTCTGATGGGCTTCCCATGTCACTGGCATGTCTCTGACCTTCTAGAACACTCTATCCAAGAGGTTCACAGGTCCCTGGATTCCCAGTTGCCTCTGGCACACACAGGTCCCTTGAAGAAGGCTGGAATGCGAGTGCGCAGACAAGGCTGCACTCAGCGGGCCCTCAGCTGGTGCATTCAACCAGATGGAGACTTGCTTCCCCACATGGGCCTCATGGTTTGCAACTTCAGAGTTTTGTTTAGCAGGAGCATAAATTACCGCCTATTACAAACTTGTAGGGATGCCTGGAAATATTCAAAATGAGAGTTAAAATCTGGGATGACCAAGAGTCACTTGTATGATTTTTATCAAAAGTTTTTTTCTAAAACAGATGCCTTGTTTATCTGGAAATTATTCAAGTCGCATGTCATTGCTTTGCCTGAACTCCTCTCCACCCGCTCCTCACTCCCACCTCACCCCCTTAAACCGACCCCCTAAGTCTCTGCACTTGGCTTTCATGTGCTTTGGACACTGTGTGCCCCGAGGGCCTGGAGAGGGAGACGACTGCCCCCCACAGAAGGGTGCTGAAGCTAATTGTGCTTCCTTCTGCTTACAGGACACATTCAGCATCACCACCAAGAAAGCATCTCTGGATATATTTCTGCCCGATGGAAGGAACATTAAAGTCGAAATTCTAACATCAGATACTGCCGAAAGAGTCCTGGAGGTAAATTCAATCTAAGTTCCAGCCCCAGACCTGAATTTAGGAATCATTCTGTTTGAAGGCAGGGACTAGGATACGGTTACCTTCTGGAAGCTTCCTACCTGTCATTTTGTTCTGGATGACTCGTCTGTAGAGATAAGAGACTGATGGAGAAATAATCTGAGTGACTGATGGAGGAATCTCAGCTACAGCCAATCTCCGGGGTCTCTTCGGTTTTCCCCACCACCTGTGGGCTGGTGTTGGTTCCCTGGAACTCAGCCAGGGATGTGCCTCCTGCAAAAACTCAAGGTCCTTTATTATGGGATGTCCATGGTTGGGAGCAGGATGGAGGATGGAGCCCAGATGAATCTATCCAGGGGGACTGATGTCAGGTTCTGGCAGAGAATGACAGGTTGTTAAAGCCAGAAAGGTGCTCCCTTCTCTGACACAGGGAAACCCCTGAAACCAGTGCCCAATGCTTCTAATTATGGGTCCACAAGGCCTATCCTGTGTTCCAGTCAGTTCTCTAAGGACCCAGAGGATGGGACCCAGAAAGCCTTCTTCCTTCTCCAGATGCAGCCGTAACCAGCCTGGCCCCTGTGGCCTCTCCTCCCTCTACTGGGCTGTGGAGAGGACTCGCAGGCTGGCTCCCAGGTCCCTCTGCTACGGAGGGTTTTAGTTTGTCAACTTAAATAGGAAGGTAAAATCAGGCATCTCAAAATTGTCAAGAAGATGCATGTAAAGGGGAATAGCAGAGGAATTGGCAATTGGGGACGTGCAAACTGGAGAGGTTGCTGGCGTGTCTGCTGAGGGCTTGGAAGAGACTGTATTTCCAGGCTGGGAAGGTAAAGAGGGGAGAGTTCAGTTAAAGTCTGCTGAAACCAAGACAAACAGAGACCGGATTTGAAAATTCCCTGAGCAGACAAAACCAGTCCAGTCACACAAACAAAGCTCCATTCCACTTATTTCATGAGACCAGCCTGACCTGGGTCATATCTTGTTTGGGTCTCTGGAAACCATGAGCAAAATTTCCCAAGGTTGATGTGAGGCAACCCTGGACCAGCTCCCTAGCATTAAAAAAAAAAAAAATTCCAATATAATCAGTTTTCTGTGAATTGGGCATTTATGAGAAATCAGCCTCTTAGTCCTAAGGATTTGTCTTCTTGAGGGCACACTTGGGGGTTTTCCATTTTATCCTCCAGTTGCATTTTAGATTGCAATGCTTTCACAAATTCTAACCTTCCAGAGAAATATTCAATGGAGAATAAGAAGCTAGGAACAGGAGGGGGTCAGAAAGCTTCTAGGACCTTTCCAAGGATGGGAAATCCCTGTGCTGGGGTCCTGGTATGGGCTGGCTTCTGAGCTGGTGACCAGAAGTGCTCCTTGCTGGGCTCCCATCCCTTGAACCTGCCTCACCCTGAGACCCTGGGCACTTCCTGTTGCATCCTGGCTCCCCTTCCCAGCCTGAAGATTTGAGCTCACCTGCGCCCTTTTGTTTGCACCCCAGATTAGGAAGTACCCCTTCTCTAGATTTTGCTCTGCTCAAGAATGATAATTTTATAACTTTCTTCCTAACTGAAGTCATCACATACAGCCTTTTCTTGGCTGCCGTATTGTGACCCATTTGCATGGTATCAGCAGCCACCTAGCTGCTGAAGCCATTCTTTGAGAAGTTACTATGCTTCCTCTTCTTCCTCCTCTTTCACCCCCCAAATCCTACTTCCACTACATCCCAAGTCTCTCTCCTATTCATTCACCCTCCCTGTTTCCTCCTCTCCATCCCTATGCCCTTGTAGCCCCCCAAACTAGTTTCCCTGCTTCCAGCCTTGCTAATCTGTACTGATTTCTAGAATGATCTTTCTAAAATGCATCAAGGGCTCTTGAAGGGTTTTATACTGAGAGACCCCAAAACACAAATCACAGTTCCCTAAATTGCCCTCCCAGGACTAACAAAGTGGGAGACAGTCAAATAACAGAAGAAGACAGTAATAGTTAGTGTAGGGACCACAAACTCAGAGACTTTGGGGGCCAGGCACATAAGACAGGGATGCAGCTGTAGGGCATAAGCTAATTGGGAAATGGTTGGACCTGTACAGACCTGGAGAGCAGCCGCCCTGCCTGAAGACACCATTATTGACATGTTTTTCACGTACTGGGCTCACTGGCCAAATTAGGCATAACTGTAGCTGAAGTTGGCTGCTGCTGGGAATATGGGGTCTCTTATCTTCTGGGGTTAGGACAAGTCCCAGGTTCAAATTACAGAGCTGCTCCATCCTAGCTGTTTGAGTCTGGGTAAGTTATTTAATTTTTTGAGTTGATGTCTAAGTAATTATAGGAATAGCTCGTGATCTGTCAGAAGTAGTGGTTATTGTTCTTCATCAATATTGGTATTGGTATTGATATTAGAGGGAGTGCTGAATAAATATTGAGTAGGGCAGTAAGTCTGGAGGGCTTCCCTTGTAGCTCAGATGGTAGAGTCTGGCTGCAATGCTAGAGACCCGGGTTCAATTCCTGGGTCGGGAAGATCCCCTGGAGAAGGAAATGGCTACCCACTCCAGTATTCTTGCCTGGAAAACCCCACGGACACAGGAACCTAGCGGGCTACAGTCCATGAGGTTGCCAGAGTCGGACACGACTGAGCGGCCAAGCAAACACACAGGGCAGGGAGTTTAGGGTTCCATGGTGCCGCCTGTTTTGGCCAGTTTCCCTTTGTAACTAATAGCAGAAGTTGAAGGAGGTACTTCACCCTCAGAAAAATGAGCTTCCCCTCTTCCAGCACATTGGCGCGTGAGAAAGTCAAACCCACGGCATGGACATCCTTGGCACTGGCAGTAAAACAAAGTAAAGGAGTTCCCCAAAAGGTAAATTGAACACTCATGCTGTGTTGTGCTCAGTCACCCGGTCATACCCAACTCTTTGCGACCCCATGGACAGTAGCCAGCCAGGCTCCTCTGGCCATGGCGATTCTCCAGGTAAGAATACTGGAGTGGTTTGCCACGCCCTACTCCAGGGGATCTTCCCAACCCAGGGATCGAACCCAGGTCTCCTACATTGCAAGCAGATTCTTTACCGTCTGAACCACCAGGGAAGTCCAAAAACAAACACTTGGCCAGGCACTGGTGTGCATTCTCTTCCAGGGAAATTCAATAGCTGAAATAAAATGTAATTTGCATTTTGTAAGTAAAAAGTATTGTCCATATCTTTTCAAGCATACTTGTTACCACTCTCACTTCACCACTCTCATCACTTCTCCAGCTATCCTACTGGGTTCTTTTAAGGACCAGCAGCAAAGTAAAATCTCTCTTGTATTTTGTATGCATCTGTGCTAATGTAGTTGTACTAGTGGTATTTGAGTTTTGAAGCATCATTAACCTTTGCTAAGAAGGAAATACTAGTGTGTCTCTTTTTGTGCTGATTTCTCCTCTGAAAGAAAGTGTTTGTATCTATGTCTTTATAAATTGTAGAAAGTATCTCTGTTCTCTTTCTTCTCACTCCACTATCTTCCTTGGCGTGTAAACTTGGTGTTTTCACTGAATGAGTCAGAGAAGAGAGGAATCTAATTTGAGTGGATATGGGTCATATTTACTTTAGGAAAGGATGACTTTGCAATCTATTACTACCTGTGCACACTCAGTCCCACACAGAGAGGTGCCCTGTGGTTTGGTTTGGACTCATTTGCTTATTTTTGCAAGGGCCTAGGGAAGAGAGTAAGGTAGAAGAAAGGAAAATGAGGATAAACATTGAGTAAAAGCTGTGAAAAGTTCCCAAGCTCATCTTTATTTTCAGAGCTATATTAAGAACACCCACTCATACCATCCACCTCTTTAGCTTATCTCTTAAGGCAATTTACACCCCTCAGACAGGAAAAGTACCCCTTTGAGCCTAGCACTTATACAACTGCCACCTTGAGAACTTGGAGCTCTGGTTAAAAGGTCAGCTCATGAACAGAGCTGTACAGGTGAACCCTGATATGTTGCAGAGGTGGTCCAGTGAATTCAGACTAGGTGTGCAAAGAAATCACCCAGGAACCCCACCTTAAAGAGGGGTGGGCTGGCTAAATGGAGAGGGAAAGGGCCAATGGAACAGGAGCTTCCTGCTAAGGGAGGGTGAATGGACGTGAAATGTTACAAGGTTACAGCCTTATGCTGCTGCTGAGTCACTTCAGTGGTGACCATTGGATAAAAATGAAATCATCTGTGTTGAAATGAAAACTGTTTGAGGTAAAGGTCAAAGAGAAATATGAAATGAAGGCAGCCTGTGCCTTCATTTACTTTAGGAAAGGATGACTTTGCAATCTGTTACAACTTGTGCACACTCAGCCCCACACACAGAGGTGCTGAGGTTTCACTGAGCAAAAATCACATGAATTAGACTTGACCATCACAGCAGACAGCAGAGAGAAGAAGACTTGGGATATCACAAGTGGACATTATCCTGTCTGGCATACTTTTATATGCCAGCCAAGTGGTGGGGAACATCCCCTTTCCCAGGATCTGGTAATCCAGCCCCTGGGGCAGGCAAGTTGGACCAATGATCATGGCGAACGGCTACTGCCCCCAGGGGACAATGAAGAGCAAAACCATCTGGGAAGACACTCCCACATGTGAAATGGGACAAACCAGTCTCAGCTGGGACCAGTTCATGTCCATTGCAGGGGGACCAATTTTTATTTTCTTCACTGTATTTTTTTTTTAATTTCTAAATTTTCTAAAACGAATTTGTACCATTTTTAGATTCGGGAAAGAGTTCTCTTAGTGTCCACTGCCCCCTTAAAGCTCTTTTTTATTGGCATTTACAGGTGGCCGCTCCTAACTTTTCCCTTTTTCTTGTCTTTGGTTAAAGGCGGTGTCACACAACATTGGACTGTGTCAGGAGCTGCTGGACTGCTTCGGCCTATTTCTCATTCAGTTTTGCAAAGAGGGCAGGCTGTCTGGTAAGAAGGACAGAAGGAGGTGCAGGCAGCCTGAGTTGGTGGGCTGGTATGGGCAGACGCTCAACCAGGAGATGATGGATTGCAGCTGAGGGGCCGGTTACACTCCCCCCAAGGAGAGCTCCCCAGTGTGTGTCCCTATTATGACTCTTGGCTCCTGGACAGAAAATTGGGGGCCGGGGGGACACGGGGTGAGGGTTGTGCATTTAGGCTTGCCTGGGGGCTCAAACGGTAAAGAATCTGCCTCCAATGCAGGAGACCTGGGTTCGATTCCTGGGTCGGGAAGATCCCCTGGAGAAGGCAATAGCAACCCACTCCAGTATTCTTGCGTGGAGAATCCCATGGACAGAGGAGTCTGATGGGCTCCAGTCCATGGGGTCGCAGAGAGCTGGACATGACTAAGGGACTAACACTTTCGCTTTCACTGTGCCTTTGAGCTGGGGGTGCGCTGGGGGTGAGCAGCTCCGGAGAGGTAGTGCAGTCAGGAGCAAGACATCAGTTCATTCCAGTAACTACACTTCCTCTGGTGGCTCTTGAGCCCCAGTCCATCTGTCTAGGTCCACCTTCATCTCTGCCCTGGCTGCTGGCCACCGGCCATGCCACAGCCCCCCCTTGCGCTGGAGTGCTGGACTCTGGGCATCAGCAGATCCCATCAGACCATCATGTCTCCTTGTTACGGAATATTTGCTTTAAAGTGTGGATGGTATAACTCAGTTCTTAGATTCTTTTAAAAAATATACTTGCAGTGAGATAATGACCGATGACATTATGTTTCATATCAGTCAGTTCAGTCAATTCAGGTGCTCAGTCTTGTCAGACTCATTGTGACCCCATGGACTGCAGCACACCAGGCTTCCCTGTCCATCAACAACTCCCAGAGTTTACTCAAACTCATGTCCATCGCGTCGGTGATGCCATCCAACCCTCTCATCCTCTGTCATCCCCTCCTCCCATCTTCAATCTTTCCTAGCATCAGGGTCTTTTCCCATACGTTTTGCTTTTCTCTGCAGTGCGTTTTTAGATATTACAAGTTTTTGTTGTTGTTGTGAAACAGTATGTTACCTCTGAGTAGTTTACATATGTTCTCAGGTGCTTTGGGGAGGTGATTTGGAGGTGGAAGTTAGGAAAATCTCTTAACTTGGCCACCAGGAACTGTGGTTTGCTGGTAAAGGCATTGGATCTCTCTGGACCTCAGTTTCTTCATTGATATCACAGTGAAAATGTCCCCTACTCAAACACTGGTCCCTTTTTTTTTTTTTAATACCTGTGAAGTTTAAAAAAAAATTTTTTTTTATTAGCTGCACTGAATCTTTGTTGCTGCACAGACTTTCCTTTAGTTGCAGTGAGTGCAGGCTATCCTGTAGTAGTGATGCATGGACTCCCATTGCGGCGGCTTCTCTTGTTGCTGAGCACAGGCTCCAGGGCTTGGGGCTCAGTGGCTGTGGCGGGAGGGCTCAATGGTTGCGGTTCCCAGGCTCTCGAGCACAGGCTCAATAGTTGTAGCACACAGGCTTAGTTGCTTTGCTTGCAGCATGTGGGATCTTCCTGGACCTGGATTCGAACCTGTGTGTCCTGCACTGGCAGGCAGATTCTCAGCCACTGAGCCCCCAGGGAAGCCCAAGGCACGGGTCTTTCATGAGGATCAAAGGCTACTCATTTTTTGAATGAACTTTAGAAAGTTAAAAATGCCATACAAACGCAAGAGAATATTATATGTGATTTTATTCCTTCCAATATTAATGCTCTATTTTATCACTTTAAAGCCCTGTATGTGGACACTGCATGTAAATATGTATGTATTTCAACCAGTAAGATTCTTTCTTCTTTCTCTAGTCGTGAAAAAATTGGCAGACTTTGAACTCCCATATGTTAGCCTTCGAAGTTCTGAAGTGGAAAACTGCAAGGTTGGACTCAGGAAGTGGTGAGTAAGCATTTATTATGACAGAAAGTGCTTCAGGATATCTCAGCTTTGCTAACAAGAACTTGTCTGAATCTCACCACATCCGGCTTTCAGTCTAACAGCTGGACAGAGCGCAGAGGCTTGGGGAAGGTCAAGAGGAAAGCTTTGAAGGAGGGTGGTGGGAGGAAATGAACAAGAACATTTGTCCTAAAGAATAGAATGTTGAGGATGACTTTCACTGAGCTCAGATTAAAAACTTGAGGGATATTATCATAAAGATGGCAACCATGAAGATAAGGCTGGGGGTAGGGGGACTGGGGATTGAAGCAGGTAATGGCAAGGAATTGCAGGGTTTGCTTTGGAATATATGACTATTTAATTGAAGGACTTTATTGATGATTACAAGCAAGTCTGATTTATCTGTTGAACTGTGATATTTTCTAAAGGCAAAGAGTGGACTTAGCCAACTTGCAGTGAATTTGAACTCTGTATATTTGGCTTACCTTCCTAATGGATTCCAATTATACATGCTTATTTACCAGAGCTAGACATATTTTCCTAGATTGACAAGATGAAATTTAAGGGGAAAAATCTGCTGTATTTTTTCAGAAAACACTTTTATTTCCCCCAGACACAAGGCACCCTATGCAGAACAAGCGAACAAAATAATGAGAAGCAGGATACTCTCCTTTGGCATGGGGGCGGGATTTGTCTCTATTTCCCAGTGTATATTGCTGTGGCTATATTGGATAGCTTCTTTGGTTTACTCTCTCCTGGCCCAGTTATTCTGTAATCTGAACACAGAGGCTCTGAAGAAAGGCATTTGAAATCAAGGAATAGTAATAATCTTGACCTTGTGGTGCCTTGTTAGAGTTCCAGGCTGTGGCTTCAAATTTTGGAAAAGGATTCCCAGCAAGGCTAGAAGTTCATGTACTGCTATTCGAAAGTATGCTGAGAAATAGTTGAAATATGTGGCAGAGAGCCCCGAGAAGGCAAAAAGGATGCAGTTTTGTCTGAGATTTTAGAGAGTAAAAGGTGGCTAAGCACAGTTGTTCCTGAGATCTGAATATGTGTGTCTCAGGGTTTAGTTCAATAACTCTAGCCAAGTTATTGAAGCTTTCTAATCCTCAATTTCTTTATCTGTAAACTAAGAATATTAATGATAGAATCTGTCTCAGGATTATAGTCAGAGTTAAATGAAGTAATCCTATGTGCTCAATAAATTTTGGTCATGTTTTTTATTGTTATAGTGATAATAATCATGATGAAAATCGTAATTAAAAAACAAACCCTCTGGATTAGACTGTTTTGTCCACAAACTCCCTAAGAGATGAGGATTCTGTCCCTCATCTTAAGCTTGAATTGGAAATTGGGCTTTGCCTGTGTCTACATTAAATAGGTAAATTCTAGATCGTAAGTACAAGATAAAATGTCTACCCCATCACCAGCCTGCATTTCAGATCCAGGCAGATTGCCTTTGCTCATGCGGACCGAGAGGAAAGGAGGTCCTACTTCAGCTCTTAGAGCTGAGGACGAGTTTACTGGGAGGGGAGAGTCTAGGGGCAGGATCCTGTAGGTCCTGGTCCTCTGTCCTGAGGGAGCCCTCACTAGGTGGGAGCAGAGAGGCTAGGTCAACTACCACTAGCTGTGGAATCCCCAGCAGGTGAGGCATGGCGGTGAGACCAGGTCGAGTTTTAGGGATTTTTCTGTCAATTCCCTGATGCTCCTTGCCAAAGATGGTATAGTTCCTTCCAGACCAGAGGGTGGCCTGCCCTGGCCTCTCAGAGCTCCGGTCTGGGGTGAGTCGGGACTGTTCATCTCTGGTGTAACAGTTGTTATCTCTGCCACACAGGGTGCCTGGGGTGCAGGGGTGAAATAGCTCAATGGAATACACGTAGGAACGCTTCAGTTGTTTCTCCCCAGCCGCTAGAATGAAGTTGATCTTCAAGCATCTGTATTTTCATCCTTTTCCTGGTCAATTACAATCCCATCATCTCCTCCGCCTCCCCTGCTGAGCTCCGTGATTCTGCTCACTCTGCCTTCAGACTGGTGATAGACCAACCCTAGCGTACCCTCTCCTGATGGTTTCAGTCCGGTCTTGGCTGGCTACTGCGCTCACATAGTACCTGTAACTTCACTTCACCCTGGCAATCCTGGATCTGCTAGACAAACACGAAGTCCTGCTATTTGCAAGTCCCTTCACCAAGGTCCAGAGGGGCAAGGGGTCTGAGTAGGACCCAGCCCCTGGACTCAGGGATCTTCATACCTTGTGTAATATCAGCTTGTTCAGAGCAGAGATCAGGGTAAATTCAGGGAGCTGAGGAAGCCCAGGGGATAGGTTGCTAACACAGCCTTGGGGAGTAGAGACCAGAGGAGGAGACAGGAGGGTGAGGCTTGTGGGAGAGGCCGATAAGTCCAGGAAGGAGGCAGGTGAGGGGAGTGGTCTTTTGAATGGAGGGAGAAGAGAGAAGACAAGGCTGGAATGTATAGAGTGGGGGCCAGGGGAGAGGTCAGAGATAGAACTGGAAATGGAAGTGGGATCTCCAACGAAGGGCCTTGGGAATCAACAGGATAAATGCTCTAACCCCTGGGACTATGAGCATATGAAAGGTTCCTTGGGAAAGACTATTCCAGTTCGAATGTGGAGCGTGGGACTGAGGGACACAACTGAGGCGGAATGTCTGGTGAGGAGTTCACCGGAGCAGCTCAGGCAAGAGATGAGGTGGCCTGGGCACAGCATGGTGATGTGGATGTGGGTACAGGGCAGATGGCTATGCTGGGAATTGCAAGTGGGGAGGGGGCATGAAGACTTGGGGCTTGATGTGAATGGCATGTGGACCATTTTCTTAAAGCCTTGTTTTTTGCATCTCTACTATTGGAGGGCACTAAATAGTCTTACAATATAAAGACAATGGGAAACAGAAAAGGTCAGTCACTTGAAGACTAGGCAAGCAGAGGACTGTGGCTGTGCTGGAAAAGGGGCCTTGGTTCAAGGCATCAAGGGCCACCAGTTGAGAGAGCATGCCCACCCAGGTATGCCCGTCAACTGTGTCATAAATTAACTGAACACTCCTGAATCATGCAGGTACCTGGACCCATCCCTTGACGCCAGGCTGATGGACTGCAGAGCAGCTGTAGATCTGATCTACATGCAGGTGAGGGGCACCAAGGGCTATCAGGACACCGGATATTATAGGCCTTTTGGGTTTGAAACAGAGAGCGTGTGTGTGGCAGTTCAGAATTCTATGGTGACACCTAGAAGAGGCAAATTCTTGTAAACTGAAACTAGAACAGAGGTTACCAGGGGCTGAGGGGTGGGGAGGAGTTATTGTTTAATGGAGATAGATGTTTTGCTCAGGATAATGAAAAAGCTTTAGGTATAAAAAGAGATGATAGTATATAACACTGCTAGTGTTTTTAGTGCCAGTGAATTGTACACCTCTAGATGGTTAAAATGTTATGCATATTTTAATTGCAATAAATAAACAAATATTTTAAGAGAAGTAGAGTTTGAGGGAAAAGAATTCTACCTCCATTCTAACCATCTCTCCACACTGGCAGCTGACACTCCATCATCTAGGCTAATTTAATAGCCAGGAAAGGACATCCCTGCTAATCTAAAGTCACAGAGAAACTGAAAGTGAAAGTCACTCAGTCGTGTCTGACTCTTTGCGACCCATGGACTGTAGCCCATCGGGCTCCTCTGTCTATGGAATTCTCCAGGCAAGAATAATGGAGTGGGTAGCCATTCTCTTCTCCATGGGATCTTCCCAACTCAAGGATCAAACCCAGGTCTCCTACATTGCAGGTGGATTCTTTACTATTTGAACCACTGGGGAAGCCGATTTAAAGTCACACATGGTCCCTAAATCTCACTTTAGCACAATCTTTCTTTCCTAAGCCAACAAGTAGCGTACCTGTCGCCAGGGCCCTCTTCATAGGCAAGTGGCCTGTGAGGCTGCACTACCCCTTCCCTCCGCGCTCAGAAGGGTCCCAGGCTTGTCCACTCTCTGCTGTCACATCTTGAAATTCTTAAAGTTTTATAAAAGGACCCCACATTTTCATTTTGTACTAAGTCCTGCAAATGATGTAGTTGGTCTTGCCTTACCCCTCCCCTCAACCCACAGAAAAGCACATTTAGAGACTGGCCTCCTTTCTTTTACCAACTCATGTGGTGAAGGTTCTGCTCATATGTCTGGAGGTCAGCAGATGCTGCCCCTGTGATGTATTGCCGGCCACCCCCCACCTCAGCCCCCTCACCTCAGCTCCCACCTCAGCCCCCTACCTCAGCTCCCCCCACGTCAGCCCCCTCACCTCAGCCCCCTCAACTCAGCCCCCTACCTCAGCTCCCCTCATGTCAGCCCCCTCACCTCAGCCCCTTCACCTCAGCTCCCACTTCTTCCCCAGCTCCCTGCCACTGTTCACCCTCACGGGGTAGCATCTTTGGAGGCCCATCCTTTCCCAGGCCTGACTTGACAGTTCTGGAGGGAAGTTTGGAAGCTTCTTTTAAGGACTTCCTTGAAATTACCCAACAGTTTGTTCTCAAGCCCAGAACAGTGGGTCGAATTCCTGGCCTATTCAAATGCTCCCAAGGTTTCCCACTCCCTCAGAATAAATCCCACATCCTGATGTAAATACTTGTTTTATTTTCTCCTTAGCATTCCTACCATTTCACTATATAAAAATTTTGAGTTACTCTGTCTCTCCCTGCTAGAATGATTTCTCCATGAAATTGGGGATTTACTGCTATTATCTCCAGAAACTAGAACTATTCCTGAGGTGACTTAGCTTTAAGCCTTTTGGGGGATCCTACATTGTACCAAGTGTTTGAAATACATTGTTTCATTTAAGCTTCATAGTAACTCTGTCAGGCAGTTGGTGCTATCTACATTTTTAAAATAAAATTTATTTATTTGTTTTAATTGGAGGTTAATTACCTTACAGTATTGTGATGGTTTTTGTCATACATCAGCGTGAATCGGCCATAGGTATATATGTGTCCCCTCCATCCTGGCCCTCTTTGTTTTTAAGAAGAAGAAATAAAGTTTGCTGACAAAGAATTGAGTAGGCTTAGATATGGAAGATTAGGAAAAGGGATTTAAAAACACATTTGCAGGTGGCTCTTATGTAGCGTGGTTCTAAACTGCTGTAGTCTGTAGCTTTTCATAAGTTAAGGCAGAATTGAAGAGAGGGAGAAGTTTCAGATGTTACTTTAAAAAAACAAACAGGTATAACTCTTTTTTTAACTTGATTTATTTAGTCTTGGCTGTGCTGAGTCTTCACTGCTGTGTGCAGGCTTTCTCTTAATTGCAGCGAGCAGGGCTCCTCTAGTTGCAGAGCTCGGGCTTATTGCAGTGGCTTCTCTTGTCGCAGAGCATGGGCTCTAGGCGCCAGGGCTTCAGGAGTTACAGCTCGCGGGCTCAGCAGTTTCAGATCGCAGGCTCTAGAGCGTGGGCTCAGTAGTTGTGATGCACGGGCTTAGCTGCCTCTCGGCATTTGGAATCTTCCCGGATCAGAGACCGAATCCATGTCCCCTGCATTGGTAGGCGGATTGTTAACCACTGGACCACTAGGGAAGTCCCAGACATTGCTTTTAAAGAGCTTTGCTAGGAGACAAGGAGGGCTTCCCAGGCGGGTAGAGAACCCGCCTGCCAGTGCAGGAGACATAAGAGACAAGGGTTCGATCCCTGGGCCAGGAAGGTCCCCTGGAGGAGGGAATGGCAGCCCTCTCCAGTGTTCTTGCCTGGAGAATCCGTGGACGGAAGAGCCCGAAGGGTTACACAGTCCATGGGGTCGCAAAAAGTCAGACACAACTGAGTGACTGACACTTTCACTTTCTTTCAAGAGACAAGAAAACATTAATAGAACCTCCTGCAGTACTTTGGTTATAGCAAAAAAAAGGTAAAAGGATGGATTTTGATGCTCAGGTTTACTAAAGAACATCAGTTCAGTTCAGTTCAGTCGCTCAGTCATGTCCGACTCTTTGCATCCCCATGAATAGCAGCACACCAGGCCTCCCTGTCCATCACCAACTCCCGGAGTCCACCCAAACCCATGTCCATTGAGTCGGTGATGCCATCCAACCATCTCATCCTCTGTCGTCCCCTTCTCCTCCTGCCCTCAATCTTTCCTAGCACCAGGGTCTTTTCAAATGAGACAGCTCTTCGCATCAGGTGGCCAAAGTATTGGAGTTTCATCTTCAACATCAGTCCTTCCAGTGAACACCCAGGACTGACCTCCTTTAAGAGGAAAAACATGTACTTCGTTAGGTGACTTTTGGTCTTGTTTTCAGCAATTCCATTGCTTTAATTAGATTATTTTTAGCAAGTCTTCATTTTTGGAGTGGTTTGTTATTGCAGCAACTGATAAATAGCCGTTCCCTTTAGTTGGATTAGGTGTGTTGTTGATAGATGTGTTGAGTCTAATTGTCATTTAAAATCACTTCAGAAAGTATGATTCTGGATGGAAAGGGAGTTATTGCTTATGCAGAGAGGCAAAGACAGAGTGCAGGGTTCCCTTTTGTGCCGGGAAAGCAAACGTTCGTCTTTGAAGACATGGCCACAGTTCAATGTTTCACATTTTCTTGCAAAGGGACAACCAAGTGCTTTATGTTCACACAGAGAGGAAACTGCTCTGTTTTATAAGATTAAGCAAAAGGACTGCCTAGCACAGGCTGAGCAGTGCCTCTGTAGGCGAGAGAAATCGCCAGATGCCTCAGAAGAAATGAAAGCAATTACCAGCCGGGAGGGATACGCTGCATAGTATTGCTTCGTGGTCTGTGTCGTGATTTATTTGGCAGTTTTTTTTTCTTAGTGTCACACAATATCATGGCATCATAAAATCAGTGGAGTTTTCAGTTTGACAAAATAGAGCCTCATTTGTGTAGAGATCTCCCCCAGTAGACCACCAGCCCCACGCAGGGACCTTGGCTTTTTCGGCACAGGGCAGAGAAGCTGGGTGTCTGACTGAGCGGTCACAGCGGACCCAGCAGCCAGAATGTCAATGGAGGAGTCACAACCTTCACACCCTTTTCTCCTTAGGTGACTTTTTAAGAGACCAAGACCATCTAGTAAACAATTTCCATGAAACTCTAAGAAGGCAAATCAAAATATCACTTCTTAAATGTTTAATGTTCACTATTGTGCTTTTATGGCTAGAATATAGTTTTCAGCTCACTTCACGTCCTGCTTTGATCCATGCATAATCATGTTCAAAGTACTTTTACCCCTGTTACATGAGTTGGAATGTAATTCACCACGTTAAATGTTCCCTGAGGCTCAGCACCATGGTATCCTTACTGTTACAATACCTTGTTAGTTGTGTCTGGTGTATTTGCCAGTGCATCCTTGGTTGACAGTGCATCACCTAATTCTAATATTGTTTCTGTGGGATGGTTTCCAGGGATACAGAGTAACAAGAATTAGCAACTACTAGCATCATATGTTTATTGATCTTCATTAAAGAGTTGTAAACCAGGGAGAAACTGATGGTGTTTCCCCCTCTTGTGGCTTGGGAAAATATGGTTTCTGAATGGTAGTTTTAAAAATGCCTTCTGTCCCCTGCTGTGTCAGTGGCTGTCTCCTCTGGATGACCTTAGACTGGTCACTTCTTCCTTCTGCAACTGGAACTGCAATGTCTCCCTGTGAAACTGAACTAACAATCTCTAAGTGTTCTTCCAGCTTTAACAGACTGATATTCAAACCTTAGCTCTTAGACTGGAAAAGTTTGCAAGAAACTATATAGCTGATGTCATAACAACCTCTGCCTTTATCATTTCTCAAGTTCGAGTGAAGCTCCTGAGAAATGGACAGGGGGCCCAAGGCCAGCAGGAGGGATGGAACCACAACTGCTGCCTCCTTTGGGAAGTCCTCTCTGTCCCCTCCCTCTCTGCCCCCTTGGCATTTTGTTCTGCCCTCCATCGTGGCAGTCCCACCCAGTGTTGTGAATGCGGGTTCACGTCTGTATCTCGCTAATTAGACTCTGACTGGCCAAGGGCACAGACTGTGTCCTGGGTGCTTAGGAGATATGAGTGAGTGAGAAGCAATCATCCTTTTAAAAAGTCAATGGAAGAAGTCTGGGGAGTTCCTCTGATAAATCACAGTGCCATCCTAATTAACCGTTAAGAAATACTCTCAATTTTTTTAAAGCTAGTGTG